CTATAATGCTCCCTGAGATCGAGGACCCTGAGGACCGGGGATGGCTCTGCAACACTGACTACAGCCTCACCCCACTCAGGAACGACCCTCGATCAGCAGCTTCGTGCTCTGCGGCCACTTGAAAGAGATGCCCAAAGTGACTGGGGCAACAACTGTTCCCAGAGAAATGGGAGTGATGGGGATGAGCGGGAATAACTGGGAATGAGGGTTCTAGAACAAAAGAATCATTTTAGACCCAAGACCACTGTAAGCTGTGCCATGAATGAACGCTCTGTAGAGCGAGAGCTGGAACCTTACAGATTTGAGATTGGACCTCACAATAAAGCCCTTAGCATCGCTTTTCCCAGTCTGTGACTTAAGTATTTAATCACTGGAGTCAGGGAAAAAGCCTTTGTACGAATAGGTCTGCACGCATTTTAGAGTCTGAGTAATTGAACCTGATTTCTATGTATTTAAAATGTTTAGTACCCAGTAGGTAATTTTCAAATCAGGACACCTCTTTTTGCGTGTAAAATAAAATTATTTACCTCTCTGATAACTAAGTACAAAAATATTTTTCTTCTTTTTTTGGTTTTTGTGAGACGAGGCCTTGAATAGTTCAGACTGGCCTTGAACTCTTGATCGATCTCTCTCCACCTCCCAAATAATAGGATTATAAGTGAGTAAGTGAGTATCATTACACTTGGCTAATGTATTAAGTTCTTAAGTTCCACATGCAAAAAAAAAAAAAGAGAAAGAAACAGAAAAAGCCCTGCTTATCAGTCTATAGTCTCTCATAAGAACATCAACCTTAATATATTGAACAATTATCAGAATGCATAACTCCTCCAAATGCTTTTTAAATGTTCTTCTCTCTCAGTTAGTCTGATTCCAAATTAAAATCTGCTACACAAACATCGGGTTGTTTTTCCCCATCCAAAACATATTCGCTGACTTTCAAAAGAGTTCACTGCACCTCTTAAGATCTGTAAGGGAAAATGCAATGTCTTGCCTAAAACTGTCTTCAGCTGGCACTACCAATACCACCAAAATTTTAATCGATTACAAAGAACATAGAAACCAATTTGTAACTGAGAACAACTTACATCTGATGGAACATGTAGCTCCTTTTCCGTGTATTTGTGAAGAACTTTGATCAGATCCTTTGGAAAATATCCAAAGATTTGTCCAACCTGTGTGAAAAAAAAATGGACAAAAGGGGCAAATACCAATTAAGTTCTGTATAGGAAATCAAAGGAGAGAGTTCTAGGAGTGACAGGAAATACACAGACAAGAAAGAGCTAAAATTACCCTGCAATGATTGTGCCAATGAAAATTAATATTATTAAACCAACAGTTCTCCAAGCCGTGTTTTTTTATATATTGGCACATAGCATACAGTTAGAAGTAGTTAGAGATCTATATAGGAGAAGCTTCCTGAAAACTGTATGGCCAAGACTTGGCAAACCAAAGCTAACACAGTTCCAAGTGATCTCTGGCAAGAATTTACACGAGCACTTGACAGCATTGCCCATGAACCGCTTCTTACAAGTCTCCCCTAAGTCAATCCACAGCAGCCATGGGAATAAGCAGAAGAAAACGAGACTTCTGAAACGTATACCGCCACAACAAAACAATATCTCTTCATACCAAATACTATGGTAGCTTTCTCCAAGAACAGTATTTAGAAGTATCTGGGGGATTAAATAAAATTATGATGTGATGCATCCTTACCTACCTCTCAGGCTTCAGTTCCATGTGAAATGAATCTATAGAAAATGACCCCAGTCTTTCCCAGCACACATAATTAAGATGTATGAAGTGTGCAGACAGTGAATAAAAGCTCCACCTGAGAAGTGTCCTTCTCTAGCCACAGCCTGAAAGGAAGCAAAGTCCTGTTCCCAGCCAATAAAGCAGACTGATAGACGGACCGATAGGCCAGTCAGGGGCACAAGAAGAAGAAAAGCCACCTTATCACTGGTTCTAAAATATCGCCATTCACCAGTGTTCTTGGTTTATCTGGAGACCATCTGGAGGCCATGTTAGTAATAGAATAAAGCCCCAAAGATTAGATAAGACCTGGAGCATTAAAAGCTACAAGTCTGGCAGATAAACCCTGAAACTCTAGGAAACAAAAAGAGACTGTCAGACGGGAATTAAGATATGAAGACAAGTCATTCTGAAGATGAGGGAGACTAGCTAATTCCACAAATGTTGAGGTTCATGAAATGAGAAGGGAGAGAGCAGAATTACATGCCACCCATCTACAGGACTCAAATGCTATAGAGGCTGGGCTAGAAAAGAGAAGGAATCAGAGATGTGTGAAAAGGAAGGGGAAGTCCCTTCTTGATCTGTCAACCGAGGCCACAGCTTACATAAAGCTCCACCATCAGATGCGGGTGCTTCCCTCTCCTACCGTCTCGTGGAATCCAGGCTCTCGCAGAAGTAATTCTTATGTCTAATTTTGCTTCTGCGTACCGTCCCTGCCAAAGTACTGCTGATTTGATTTGGGGATGGGGAACAGACTCTGCCTCACGAGGGTCAGTTCTGCCTGAGCTGCTGCGAGAGCAAATGTAAGTAAGCACTATAGTACCCCGTAAGGAGATACTCGAAAAGAAGGGAGAGAAGACACGTGGCTAGTGAGCTGAGACACCAGCTGGCTGACGAGCAAAGCAGTAAAAAGGCGTCACAGGAGCAGGGCAAACAGAGTCCCACCCTAACACATATCTATCGGCCGAGATCACCAGGCTGGGTGCTAAAGCAGGGTTTCTTAAGGGGGTAAGGTGAGGACTTGGGCTGTAGACTCCTTGCCTATCATGTAGAAAGTCTTGGTTTGACCTGAAGCATTACAGAACACAACAGCACTGGGGAGGCAGAGGCAGGAGAATCAGAAGCTTAAGGCTAGCTTGGATACCTGAGAGCCTGCCATTAAGCAGAGAGAGAGAGCCGTGATGCAGAAGGAAGCATCTGTCCAGAGGTGCAAATGCTAAAAGGCTGATCTATCCAAAAGCCCAGAGGCGGGGAAGGTAGAAGGACCTCATAACTACTGTGTAAACAAATGGAGCACAGGTATATGGGGAGCAGCTCCAGAGTCAAGCCTATCCAGACACCCACTGGGGAGACACGAGAAAACAGCACAGACTCTCCCTCATGTCCGTGATACTGCTGGGAGGCGTCTAAATAAAAAGACTATGCCCCACCACTCCATACTTTAAAAAGTCCCCCATAGGAAGCTGAAATTTTTTTTCTCCCTAGGGGGCTTCTAGAACCTTATTCTGTGTTGGTTATTTGGTGTTTGATCGAGAGTCAACACTTTCCATGGTTGGAAGTGGGACTGTTTCTAAGGCGGAACAATCCCACGGGACATCACAGGCCCTCAGTCAACAGCCTTCCATGGACCAGCCCTCTTCAAAGGGAAAGGCAGCTCCCATGCTTCTCAGCCAGGTCTGCTGAGTCTCCTTAAAACATATGAGCATGACAGATTCGGTCGTTGTCTGCTGTGTCTGATACCAAGAGGCCCGAAGTGTCGGGAACAGAATCCCAGGGGAAACTTCTAGGCACAAAGCAAAGCTAGGAAAAGATACCTCAGAAGTTACAACCAAACAAGAAGATCCACAGTGAATACAATATTTCTCCTTTTGTGTGTGCCTGCCTACATGTGATATGTCTATGTTCATGTATGTGAATGTTTATATACGTACAGTGTGCGTGTGTGTGTGTGCACGCATGTGTGCAGTTGAGTGTGTATGGGAATGCATATGTGTGCAGGCCAGAGGACAAACTCACTGCCATTCCTCAAGTGCTGTCTACCTTATGGTTTTTGGTTTGGTTTGCTTTGGTTTTTGTTTGTGTCTTGAGATAGGGTTTCACTATGTAGGCCAAGCTGGCCTGGAACAGGCTATGTAGTACAAGCTGGCCTTAAAATTCCAGTGGTCTGCCTGCCTCTCCCTCCCTCACATCTCACCTTCCGTTTTTCACTCTCCAAGTAGGTGAAGCTGGGCGGCCTAGGCGGCCTGCTGGTCCACCTGTCCAGTACCTCCTAGACTCGGCATTAAAAGCTCACCCACACAAAGCTTGGCTTTTTAAAGTAGGTTCTGGGGATCAGACTCAGGTCTTGGTTGAGCTATCTCCCTAAACCTGTTTCAGCTTTTTGAAAGATTTTTTTGTTAACAGGGAAAAGGCATACAAACTTTAACCCTGAACACCTTAAGTGCTATCTTGCATACTGCTTATAAGATTAAGTCTAATGATAACAAATACTTCTTTCTTGATGCAATGAACTTTTAAGATTTTCAGGTCTTGGCCATTTTGACTTGAATTATATGTACAGCTTCGTGTATAACTGTGGGGCAACAGCCAGAACCAGTTCAGTTCTGTTGCAGCAACCTGTCTGCTGCTATTGTGTTTCAGGCCTGAGGCTTGCTAGGACCATAGGGTTGTCTCACCCCTACTGTGTGCCAGGCCTGAGGCTTGCTAGGACCATAGGGTTGTCTCGCCCCAACTGTGTGCCAGGCCTGAGGCTTGTTAGGACCATAGGGCTGTCTCACCCCTACTGTGTGCCAGGCCTGAGGCTTGTTAGGACCATAGGGTTGTCTCACCCCTACTGTGTGCCAGGCCTGAGGCTTGTTAGGACCATAGGGTTGTCTCGCCCCTACTGTGTGCCAGGCCTGAGGCTTGCTAGGACCATAGGGTTGTCTGGCCCCTACTGCATGCCAGGTCTGAGGCTTGCTAGGACCGGTAGGGCTGCCTTCCATTTACAGTCTAGGAAAGACAATATTAACAGCATTTAAATCTGCAGTACTACAAACCTCAACAAAAGTAAGGAAATAAAGGTTTTCGTGGTTCTACTTACACTCCCAGCCCAAACTTCCGGGGATCCCCCTGCAAGTTTGTAGTAGACATGCACATGGTCGCCTTTCTTAAAGCTCACAAAACGACAGTCAGGGCCTGTGAAGTCTCCAAGGGCTTCAGCGCGGTACATTAGCACTGTGTTCAGGAAAAAAAAAAAAAACAAGACGTTAATGCCGAAGTGTCCCAAGTGCGACGAGGAGGTGTGTTTCGCTGAGCGAGTGACATCACTAGGCAAGGACTGGCATCGCCCCTGCCTGAAGTGTGAGAAATGTGGAAAGACACTGACCTCTGGGAGCCATGCCGAGCATGAAGGCAAGCCCTACTGCAACCATCCCTGCTACTCAGCCATGTTTGGGCCCAAAGGCTTTGGGAGAGGTGGAGCCGAGAGCCACACTTTCAAGTAGATCCAGGTTGTGGAAACCCTCCCTACCCGCCCAGGCACATGCCAGGCCGTAACCTTGGACAGCGGGGGCTCTCAGTAGCCCTTCATGCCCTTAATAAACCTGATCTTTTGGAAAAAAAAAAAAAACAAAAAAAAAAAACAAGACATTAGGATGTGACTTCTCACAGCTTCCCACACGTAATTTAAAAAACAAACAAACAAACAAACAAACAAAAACCACAGGATTGTTTGTACCCCAAGCTGGCCTTATACTTTTTTGGGGAGCCAAGGATGGCCCAGAACTCCTAATCCTCCTGCCTTAACCTCTCAAGCACCGGGATTGCTGCTGGCACCTGCCGAATCTCAAAGCCGGGGTTTGTGTGTGTGAGGCAAGCCTTACCAGCTTAAAAAGCTCTTAGAGATTTTTCGAGAAATACATGAATCCCATTGCAGACAACAATCAATCCCTCCCAGTACTCTGCTGGAATGGATTTCAATTCATATTTTCCAAGAGTCTGAAATCCCTGGAGCCTCACGGCTGTAAGTCCCATCATCCGCTATAATCGAATGAGGGAATGTTTCTACTTTTCTCTCTGCCTGTCTGCGAAACCAAAGACAACGCATCGGCCACCACAGACCGCTGCTCTCAGGTCAACTCTGTTTCCCTCTCTAATCTTCTAGCGCCCCCCCCCATTCCCTTCTGCCATTTTATCATCATAAAAGGCCTCACTTTGTGGATGTGTAAATGCAGGTGCAGGTGCTGACTGGTTTAAACATAGCTAACTGTGGGGATAGCAGGGAGCCAGAAAGAACGCCTAGGAACCCCCAAGGGGTCAATTAACTCGAACCAACCACTAACAGGCACTACCTGTAAAAGGCTGCAACGGCCCCTGTGCAGCAGTAAACACCATCCATTTCATTTGTGGCTAAGTTGTCCCTGCACAGTGTCTGTCTGAATGAATTAACAGGAAGGCGTATTATCACACGCTATTAGGAATCCAATCAATCACAAGGCAGTGTTTTCTGAGCAAATAATGTTGATGTGTCAGCATTAAGAAGGTTTCTAGCCAGGCCTGGTAGTGTCGACCTGCAATTCCAGTATTCCGGGAGGCTGAGGTAGGAGGATCATAAACTCAAGATCTGACTGATGAAGAGAGGGAGTTCAAAGCCCAACCTAGGTAACTTAGTATAAACAGGCCCGAAGATGTACCTCAATAATAGAATGTTTGCATGGTATAGACTATTAAACAGGCCCTAGGTTCGGTCCCCCAGTTACACACACACACACACACACACACACACACACGCAAATCTAAAAAAGCTTTCAAAACAATTTTTCCTAAAAACAAAATCCAAGATGGATATCTCATTTTTCAGGGTCCAGACAAAACTATGAGACTAGGTCAGAAGTTTTTCTCTCACTTAAAATGCAGAACTATGGTCAGGCATGGTGGCAGATGCCTTTAATCCCAGCCCTGAAGAGGAACAGGCAGGCAGATCTCTGCGAGTTCCAGGCCAGCCAGGGCTACATAGTGAGACCCTGTCTCAAATAAACAAACATAAATACAGAGCTTCAATCACACTAATAGAAGCAGTATGTTTTTTAAGATTCATTTATTTGTATGTGCACTGGTATTTTGCCTGCATGTATGTCTGTGTGAGGCTGTTCGGTCCCCTAGAACTGGAGTTACAGACAGTTGTGAGCTGCCGTATGGGTGCTGGGAATTGAAGCAGGGTCTTCTGGAAGAACGGCCAGTGCTCTCAACCCCTTAGGCATCTCTCCAGCCCAGAAGCAGCATCTTGCCAAATGAAATTAACTGTGCATTAAAAGGCAGAGACACGGAAGTGATGGAAATTGCACTTTGTCTAAAAGCCAATTAGCAATAGTACACAAACACGCTTAAAAAAAATACATATTCAAGGCACAAGCATACAGATCTGGAGGGTGTAACTTGGTTTGTGAAGCTAAAATAAGACCATTTTCACATATATCAGCATCCTGTTTCAGATGGGACTGAGCAAGAAGCCAGACTGAAGGAACCTAAGGCTGGGATTCTACTCAAATTGGAAAAGGCACTGTTTCTGGTTCCCTCCTTAGACTCTTGGGGATGTATAGTATTATATCAAGGACAGCCTCTGTCTTTATGTGTTATCATTGTATATGAATGACATGCACACTGCATCACACCTTTCGTGACACCTGACACTGTCCCACCATGAAGCACTTCCTACCAGGCAGCACAGGCCTGGGCCTGCTTCTTCTATCATTACTCATTGCTTTTGGTTACATTTGTTTGGACACGGGCCACTTCTCAAGTTATGGTACAGCCCGGACCTCTCCAGCCACGAGTCTCAGTTCTTTCTGAAGCAGCACCAGTGATACTGTCCTCTCAAGTTTTGAGGGACTCAGGTGAGCCAATGTTTGACAGCAAAGAACAGAAAACACTGGGCAATAAATATTCAATAGCAAAATGGCGATAACTGGTTTGTTAACAGAAAAATGAAAGGGGAAATTCATAATGGTGGCTCCACCTTTATTTTATTTACAGTGTTTATTTACATTGGCCCGGGGGTACCTCTAGCACCTAGAATCTAGGTGATAGAAATTACAAGTACCCTCTTTCTCTTCCTTTAATGATATTGATGAATGGTGATATTGAATTTCACCATTCAAATGATGAAATTTGTTTTTTCATAAAACCAATTGAAGCATAAATAGCTAACATGTAGTTTTCTTAGTCTTTTAGGAGGAATCATATTCTACATGTACTGCTTGTGATTTATGAAGGACACAGTTGTTGGAGACCAATCTGGAAACCTTATGAATTATTCCGTACAGGACTGGGACCCAGCAACGAAGGGGACTAAGGATAAAGCTGGACTGACTCCTGGGACTCTTGGATATTTATTTTTCACCATTACAGCAATAACTCTCTACTAATCTAACCTTCCCTGTGGCCCACCTCTAACCCAGGACCAGGGCGCGACTGCGCATAGAGGAGAAGGCTGCGGCTTTCAGGTGGTGACAGGTGCAGCTTCCTGGCCTCTTTAAGAGCAAAAGATGTTGACCTTCCCACAGCCCTACTTAGCACTGGCAAGAAGCAAAAGAGACAGGACTGAGGCAGAGAACCAGGGAGACCTCGGAATACACTGCGTTCCTGGCCTTGGGTTCATCCCAAACCTAAACTCCAGTTCCTCCGGTTCCAAAGGTGATGCGAGCTGGTCCCAAAACAGCTAAGAGGTCGAAAAGACAAAACCGGGGTGCCTTCTGGAGGAACCCCGCCATCAATCAGCCACTGGGATTGCGCCCCAGGTACCTTAGAGCGTGGGTCTAGGTCTTACGTGGAACCAGGTCCCCGCGGCAGGCGTAGGGACGCTCTTGCCTGCAGCATGGGGCGCCCAGGATGCGGGGACTCGCCACCCCATCACTCGGGGAGCCCAGCTGGAGATTGGGGACCGGGAAGCAGTGAGCTGACCCCGGGAAACCCGGCTGGGTATGAGGCGCCCCCCAGCCAGGTCAGAGCAGCAGAGAGCAAAACCCGGCAACAAGTGGTAGGCGCAGCCCCCACGCCAGGGCCACCAGGGCGATCGGCGAGCAGAGCGTCCCTGCATGGATTCCGTGGGCCTGAGACCCCCTAGGCTAGGTGCGAGCTGCGGGACTCCGACCCGATCGGCCGTCGCCGCCACCCGGGAAAGCGCCTCCCGCCCAGCCACCCCACACTCACTGCTGCACTCTTCGTCCGCGCACACTTTGAGGTCCGAGAAGCGCCGGCCGGGGCTGGGGTCCGGCTGGCCCGGGACCCACCAGAGCGGTCCGAGCAGGAGCAGCCAGAGGAGCAGCCCCGGCGCCGCAGCCATGTTGTGGGCACCGCGGGCGCGGGTGACGCGGAGGCCGCCGGCGGGCGGTGCCGGGGGCGGGGCAGGAGCAGGCGGTGCCGGAGGAGGCGCCCGGGCGGCGGGCGGCAGCGAGCGACACGTCAGCAAGGGCTCAGAGCAGGCTGCGCTGTGCCTTGGAGGAGGCCGTGGCGTCCCTCCCGAACTGCTGCTGCCTTGGCAACCGCCACAGTCGCCTTCCGCCTCACCCAATCGCCGACTTCGGTTCACAAACGACCCTCCGCGTCACCCGGTTCGTCACTCTGCCTCTCTGCACCATCCCAACAGGTTCTTCTGCCTCCCTCCTTCAGCTTCGAATTTCTGGTCCATGCTAAAACAGCCATCCCTCTTCATCACTTCCTCCAACTGCCGTTCTTAGTTTTGAACCGCCAAGTCCCACACAGGGCTGGCCACAATAAGCAACTAATCCAGGCACAACCCCCTTCAACTCCCCCGAAGTACACACTCACTTCAGACTCCGTGGGATTGTTTTGACCCCGATCACACCCTTCTCCTTTATTTTAATGGAATAGTAGGTGAGATGGTACATTAGAAAGCTGCATCCTTTTAGGAGGTTAGTGGACAGAAAACCACTGTCCTGTAACCCTCTGCCCAAGACCTTGAGATCCTCGTCTCTGTCCATAAAAAAGTCATCTAGCCCAACATGTGTTCCTCCTTCCGTTTCCCACCCTCTGCTCTGCCAACCCTGGAGGCCAGATCAACTTCATAGCTCGTCTGGATGCCCTCGGGTAGCCAATAGCTGCTGTCTCGACAGTAGTAGTAGCTCGATTAAATCCGTGAGGATAAAGTCGGAGGTGTCTCTCCTCTCCTCAACCCTTTCCACAACTCCGCATTTCCAAGTAATATGCAATGGCTTTACCACAGACTACCCTGCCTCTCTTGCCTTTGGTGGCAACCTTCCCCTTCCTTTCCTCTGCAAGGCCCACTCAAACAGCAAGTCCTTGGTGCATTTGTGCTACCTTCAATAATTGCTCTCATAGTCCCCCAGGGTAAGTACCCTTCCGCCATCCTCCCTCTGTAGCAGCACCACACACCAGTCTTCAAATCACACACACACACACACACACACACACACACACACACGAGAAACCTTCCCAGGATGGTTAGCGCTTTACTTAGTGCATTTACCACTTAGCTTATGTTTGTTTGTCTGTCCCCTAACCAACTTCAAACAGCTCCATAAGAGTGGTAACATTTGTTTTATTTGTGTGGTATCAGTGGGCATGCTCAGCACGAGCTAGCACTGAGCTACATCCAAGGCCCG